AGTGGTTCAGAATCTCGGTTAGAGCTGGATGGATGGGGAGACGGAGCCCTGCGATGAGCTGCTCCCTATAGATGGCTACGAAGCCAGGAGGAGGTCGGCAGGCCCGGTCGTCGGGCCCGGCCAACCTCGGCTCGTAGGTTGGAGGGATGGAGTACGACCTAGCCAGCTCGGCCAAATCCTGGGGGGATAGGGTGGCCTCCTGCAGGTCTGGATAACCATAGGAGAATTCGGGGTCCTCCCCCTGCTCCGAGGCAGGAGTCCCCCCGGAGGAATCCCTGTCCCCTCCAGCTCCGCCCTGGGCTCCGCCGGGGGAGTCGTGGGGGGACTGGAGGGAGGGGGTGGTCGTGGCCTCCCGGTCGAGGAAGGCGTCGAGCTCGGCCGCCTCCTCCAGAGCGCGGGCAGAAAAAGGATGGGACGAAGGAGACTGGGATGAAGGAGAGCTCATGGTGTCAGTGGGCTCGAGCAGGTCTGAAGTGTGGAAGCTGGGACTAGAAGCGGAAGAAGAGGAAGGGGGAGGAGGAGAAGATGGTGACGAAGATGAGGGTGAGGGCGAGGAGAGGACGATGATTCGGGGGGCTCTGCGGCGGACGGAAATTACAGCAACAGAGGAAGAGGCGCCGGAATGATCCGACATAAAAATTGGGAGGCGGCAGAAGGCGAAAGAGACACTGCAAAGAGGGAAGATGAATCGCAACAAGGACTTACTGATGACGGCAGGAGAAGGACTGAAGGCTCGCCGGAATCTGGGCACGGGGCGCCGGAAGTTGTTGGAAAACGGAAATGTGGGTGCACAGGGAGAGTAATAACTGGAAAAGCGCAAGAAGAAGCGGAAATGGCAAATGGGACAGAGAAAAATTTGGCATCCCCTATTTATGGGGGGAAGAGTGGAGGGAAAACGGCTGCGTGAATTTGAACCGACCTCCATGTGAACGCGTTTAATGCTGGCACGAAAACCGAAGAGGCGGGACAGCTGAAAGGACACGGGCGCAGCGTCCCTGTGACAGCACTGTACCAGAAGTGACCTCGGCAGAGTAGTGCGCGGCCCTGGCCTCCCACGCGGCGGAGGTAGATTAGGTCTGCCTGACAGTCCTACCTAATCTAGGGGGCTAGTGCAGAGGCCCCATTCTGGGCCCAGACACGTGGCAGCCCAGGAATGGCCGAGCTGGGCCTTGGCCCTCAGACCCCTGTGAGCCCCCTCGGGCCGTACCGACTAGGGCTCCCAGGGGAGGCGAAGGTCCATCCCGAAGAGGTCGGGGGTAATCCCCCTGAGTGCGGGATACTATCTATACTGGGCAAGTCCCGCGTCGTGCGGAAGTCGGACTCCCTTGCAGGTATAAATGATAACGCACGTCCACTGTACAAGGTACGCTGACTATAGGCAAACTACTCCCGGTTGTTACTACTTCCCGTGAACTCTACTCATCGGAAAACTAACTTGACCGTCGGAGTGCCCTCGGGGACCACCCTCGGGCCCCCTCAGTTAGCTCATCCTTTCTGTCTTGCAGGCTTGGAGTCAGCTCTCCCATCAACACCCCGAGCTGATCAGGTCAGCTCTCCTGGGGGAAGCTCAGCGCTTCTTCACAGCTGCTTACTGGTCTGAATCACCAAGATGAAGTTGCCAGTTCGATGAACTGATAAGGAAGACATCCGTGGCTTTTTCTTTGAAAAAATGAATGGATGATTCAAACATATTTCTAGTCTTTCTTTACAAGAATTGTATGTTTTGAAAGGTAGTCAATTGGCTCAATTCTGCTTGAACAACTTTATGCTTCCACAATATACATTATACAATAAGAGTATTTAGTCCATGCTTACTATTGGCATGTAGCAACTTTCGGTCAACGCTTAATTTACAAAGCTAGTGATAGAGCTTCATTCGTTTGACCAATTCTTTTTGTAATTGGAAAACAAATATGCCAATTTTGAAACTGAAATACCAAGTCAACTTTTCAAGGATTTTAATAAATTGTGATAGGCAGGCTCAACCAATTCTTGGTCCAATCTTTAATTCAAGTCAGCATATGAACCTTGTTCGAGAAAAATTTCATGCATTCTCCTATCATTCTCTACACAAGTTAATCTTAAAGCTCAACACAACTCTTAACTGAAAACAAAGGAAAAAATTCAAATGCTGACTGACCTAGGAATAAAAAAAGCAAACGACTTTATTTAATATTAGAGGCATGATATCATATGCATCGTCACACAATCACTTCGTATGTTTATAAAGACTAGGAGGCAAGAACCGCGCAGCGCAGTATCATGAGCAGGAACGCTGCATGAAGAGACTGAACGTATAGTGTAAGAAAGGCAATATAAAGAAGCACAAGGAAAACAGAGTTAGCAGTAAAGGTGTAAAACAACGGTATAAAGCTGATTAAAGCATAGTCCTTCAACGTCTGAGTAAGAAACAAAATGAACTTAAAACGGAAAGAACATGAGGCTAAATATTAAAATTATAGTGCCATGGATACATTCTTTTATTCCCTTTCCGATCGAAGATGATGATGGAAAAACAGGATTTGGATTGGGGCATGAAGAGAACAACTTCGCCATTTCGAAATTCATGATCTGCAACGAATGTGGTCCAGTTTTGATCAAATTTGGCCGCATAACGAAGTAATCCCGGTGTCCACTAGCGAGATTGATTGTTGGAGTTTTGGATTCATGTAATCCCGGTGTTATATATTGCGGAAGGGTCTGTGCATAACGAAGTATAAGATATGACCAAGAGGGTGGAAAAAAGGAAACGAAATGTGTATGCTCACCAAGATGCGCATATCAATGTGATCAAAAGTCGTGCGTAAGCTGGTCTATGTTGTCTTCATACCAAAATTAAAGATTTTTCACTATGTAGAAGTATGAATGTTCATGCCAAAATTTTATAGATTTTTCACTCCAGGCTCTGGCATGTGATGAGCTTGTACAACAAATTCACAAAAATGGTAAAAGAAGCACATGGCGAATAGCAAACAACCAAGTACAAAACCGCTGCTTGAAGGGAACACCACAAAAAAAAAAAAAAAACCAACAACTGCTACTACTACCAATATTGAGCGCAAAGACACTTCTCAAACAGATTCAAAAGCATAATCATTGATCAGAGTAGCAAGATCTGAAGATTACAGGAGACACTGAACATGCTATACTTTGCAAAGATTTAATCCACAGAGTCATGCATTGAACATGTTAGACCTCGTCAAATAACACCAGAGAAATTAAGCTGGATAATCAGCTCCCAGAAAGGGCATCCAAGAAATCACAACAGACACCCAGAATCTGAAATGTACTGTTCTCAAACTTTAATATTACCCCTTTCTTCAGCAATTAAAAGAAACAAAATAAACCCCAACGAACCTGGTCATAAACATCAACGAACATGCGGTATCAAGAACGAACTACAAAGGACATAAATCAGAATCAAACCGTGAATATGTTGCTCTTCTAGTTGTGGATGAAGGAAGTGACAAAGGGAAGAATGTTCATCAAAAATTTGACACTTGTTACTGCTTTTATGCACCTAAAGAAATAAAAAAGTAGAAAGAACAGGAAAAGATTTAGAAGTCTCCCCACAAACCCGCATAAAAAGTGAAGAGAAAAGGCCTTAGGTTGAGGGCATTGAGTGGCATTTACAGATGCATGGGACAATTGTTCTTGATACAAGAGAGAGCTCGGCTCAGGCGGTAAAATTTGATAACCAAGGAAGAAAGGCTGCAGTGCATGGATATGCAGTCAGAAAGAAAGAGAGAGGAGAGAGACGTTTGAAGTTTGAACTTTGAAATAAAGTCGTTGGTGCGCTTGTGGGGTACCGTGAATAACATGTTGCATGGCCTGATATTCATACTCTATGATCAATTTATAAAACCAAAAGTTTATTTGGGATTTTTTTAAAATAAATTTTTTGTAATTTGATGTATGTGAAATCAAAAAAAGAGTTAAAAAAATACACAAATGATTGATAAATATTTTTATAATGCATTAATTTTTTTGTGCACACAAAACTTGATGAATCAAAACGAATCAAAATTCTTTCACTGCAATTTTATAATTAACATATATCAATTATAAGATGGTAGACATAGCAAAACTCTGATCTTCAATGATTTTCGCTTATGTATTTAGGGGTTAAAAGCAACTAAATATTTGGGTAATTTGATCTATAAGTTCAATTAAATATGTGGAAATTAATGCTAAGAAAGATCTAGGTAAACTCGTTTATAGATTAATATCGGTTGAGATACGTAGCATAGTTCAAATTTTGCACGCGTCTACATTTTAGAGTATGAGTAAGCTCACTCAATTAAGTTTTTTTTCTCCCTTTTTAGATAAGATATTAGAATGGTACCAATTTAAGTAGACTTGAAAGTTGGAGTACTAACAAAGAATCATTTTTCGTAGGTGAGGACAGAGGAGATCTTGAAAGGAAGAAGAGGTCAAGAGAGTAATTTTGAAGGTTGAACAAATAATGGACACTTGGAATGCATATATATACGTAAATTTATGTTGGAAATCCGAGCTCTCGGGCAATATCTTTCTCCCCTTACTCCTGTTATTTTGCTTCTTTTCAAACCCTTTTCTTGCTTCAATAACAGACAGAGACAGAGACACTGAGGGCCTATGGATAACAGTGTGAATGCATAATATTGATTTAATGCATCAATAATGTCAGCCTTGGAAGACCTCCAAATAAAGTGGTAGTAAAAGACAAATGTTTTCTAGAGATGCAAAAGAGGAGCAACGCAAAAAAAGGCATGATTTTCATGTTATCGAGGTTGTAAGGGGGAACCACTGGAGCTGTCAGGAGTGCAGACCAGCATCAAACCCATGTAGACCGGACACCCGAGGAACAAAAAAAATATATCGCAATGCGGAGGAAAAAAATTCAAAGAACACTTTCCAATTTTGTTAATGTTTGAATTTTCTTCTATAGAAAAGGAAAATTATCAAATAAACATATGATAAAAACTAATATGGGCGAGAAATAATACTAAGCACGGATCTCAAAGACGCGAACAAGTTGGCCAGAAATAATATAAAACATAGACCCCAAACTTGAGAACTAATTAATTCAGATTATGACAAATTAAGTGGCCTCTCAAGGCAATGATCTAGATGCAGTCTGTATCTTATTTTAGCCTTTGTAGTCCAGCTCCAGCAGCTGCTAAGTCCTATTTCTCAACTCAATTCTTAGGAGGAACAATAATTTGACCCTTGGCAATCTTGTTTTTGAAAAGTTCCACGAACCCCGGATAACATTGAAAGAAACTTGTAGAACCGAGGGAGCCATTGCCTTCCAATGACATTTCCCAGCCAACTGAACAAAAGATGGCCTGCAAAAGGCAAACAAAAAAAAAAGTAATGAGAATCTCCAATTGTTACTGCCTTTTTTTGAGAAAAAATGATGGGTTTAAAAATTCTGCCAGATTCACTCAGCCCATGATCTTCAACCCTTTCTTGCTTAACAGTCCAAGGAAGAACAATAGTAGTATATAATCTTCAAACTAAAACTTACTCTAAAGATGTGACAACAGAGAAATACTCCAATCCATCTCCATCTGCAACCTTGGCAGCAGAGAAGAATTTAGGCACGACGAGTAACTGGCCGCTCTGCACCCGGGCGTCCAATGCCTTCCCACCAGTCATACCCGAAATTCGAATCACACCACTGCCTTTAGCGAAGTAAATCAACTGGAAGGATGCATCAGCGGTATACATGGGGTTAACATGGACAACGGATCCAACTTCACGACATTAGCACATAGTCCCACTTTCTCCAGAAAAGGAAAATTTTCAGGAGTAGCAATGGTCATTGACCCGCCCTGATTGACGTGGATGCTGGGCTTGGCACTTTCAAAGTCGAATAACATCTCGATGTGATCAGCATCTTTGCATGGATCGTGCAACGTTTGACCCTCAACAAGCTTGACAATTAAAGCACCGGTTTGGCACGTCAGGAGCTGATCTGATTCATCTTGGGTGAGATCGAAAGCTCTGGAAACAAAATCAGTCGAGAAACCCCCAAGAACACCCAAGCCTCCTGTCAAGAAGAAATAGTCAAACCGAGAGGAAAAAGAAGGGCAAGATCGTACCTTACCCGAGAGGAAAAACAGAAGGCCTGCGTTCGGGGAGGAAAAAGGGGCGAAGACGGCACCTCCTTGGTCTGTAAGAAGGAAGTCTCAAGAATCGCTTCTCAAACCAGTAAAAGAGAAAAGCATTGAAAGAGAAAGGCAAGAGAATGGTTTTAAAAAACCCCACAACTGCACATGTAGCTAGTACCTAAAACAGAACAGAACCAAGTCTTCTAAATACCCACAACTGAACATGACTTGTAAGAAGCTATTCTCAAATCAAGAAAAAAAAAAAGCACAACCACATCATTGAAAGAGCAAGTTTGCAACCTTCCGGAGAGCAAAATAGTAGATCTAGAGGACCCAAAGAACCAAAAAAAAAAATTTATAGGGGAAACTCACAGCGAAGACGAACCTAACCATAAAGGAAGAACAAGAAAACTTACTACGGAGGAGAGGAGGAGAAGCGAACGGACGGCAGCCGATTTGGATGACTGAAACCCAGAGAAAGCGAGAGACAGAGGCTCGATGGGCATTGTGCGGCTCGAGAAGGGAAACAAGAACAAAGAGCAAAAACATCAGTTTCATGCTAAAGAAAAGATAATGCAGAAAACTCACAGCAAAGACTGCATGTCACCGAAAAGGAAGAAAAAGAAAACTCACCACGGAGGAAGAGGAGGAGAACCAAACGTCTGGACCGCTGCAACCCAGAGAACGCGAGAGCTCGAGGCTTGATGCTTCTTGCGTGGTAAGAAGGGAACCGGATATCTCAGCAGGATCCTACCCCATGGCTCAGAACAGCCGGATAAGCAAGAGAGCAACATTGCCCAAAAGGAGGAGAGAGGGAGAAGGCAGTGGGAAGAAGGGGCATGTGATACAGCCACATAGAGAGAACGCGGCAGACAACGCAGCAGGAGGCACATGGGATATTGACGGAGGACAAGCAGCGCGCAATGCGCGAACAACACAACGCTCCCAATCCACATGCGCGGCACGTGAGAGGACGACGAAAACCTCCAGGTCATCACAGCCCTTCGCCTCTTTATCTACTTATGTTGAAAAAGCAAGACATGATAAAAACGGCAACTAGGCTCTGTTTGGGATTGCAGTGCTTTTAGTAAAAAAGTATTTTTATGTGCTAAAAATATTTTTAAAGTGTTTGGTAAATATTATCTCATAAAATTAGGAGCAGAACTTTTAGTATTAAAAGCACTTTTAGTAAAATCTAAAATTTTGTACTTTTAGAGTAGTTTTTGTGATTTAAAAAATAAAACATCAAATTTAATCATCTTATCCTATATTATGAACTAAATAAAGAGATAAAAAACTTTTTAAAAATTTCAAATTATACATTATTCAATACAATAAGTATTTATTGAATTATGTCTCCAAACAATATATTTAAAAGTATTTAAGTAGTTAATAAGTACTTTTATTAAAAGTTCTATTATGAAAGTACTTTTCAATAAGCGACCGCAACCCCAAACGTGCCCTAGAAAATCTTCTAGTCACTATGGACGCTTGTCGAAACCTCCAAAAAATAATACTAATTCCACAATCACAAATAAGAAATTTTTATAGTATGATAGTGAAAGTTAGGTTGAATCGAAGGGAAATTTAATTCTAAATATCCTATAGGAATCTGAAATTAGTGACGAAAGGGGGATTTGAAATATGAATTGAATAAACAAATTCTAGAAAAATTAAATGAACCAATCAATTAAAAATGATTCAGTTCAAAGGTTAAACATCCACTTCATAGACTTGGGATGATCATTGAAGTGCAAAAATTATTCCTGTGATAGGTTGCGATTTTATCATTTATTTTATTATTAATTTCCCCTATTACCTAACCCAATGTAGATTAATTATTAGATTCTACTCACTTTTGGAAATTTGCACTTATTACAGGGAGTAGAACAAAAATACCATAACAAATGCTAATTTGGCAGTCATCAGAAAAGAGTTCAAGTAGCAGGCATCCAGGGACATTTTTGGAATATCAAGACGCGACTCTTATTGGTAATTTGGCCGAAGATAGCATTGAAAAGAAAGGGCTGGAGTCTTCTTCGTTTGGCTAGCGAACGCCGCATGGTAGCCAGGCATTAGATAGAAATAGGAAATAGAGTAGAGAACTGGGGGGAGTACTTTAGATTAGCTTTTGACTTTTTCTTAGGAGTTTTTTCTTCTGTGTATGATAGAAACTACTTTGAGTTGTTTTCTTTGACTTTTCCCTGTGGTCTTTTGTGGTTGCCTCCCACGCATGTTAGGAGCAATTGGAGGATTTAGTTACTTTCTGTACCTTGTGTTTCCTTTCACCAATTGAACGAATTGAGTTTTTCCCAATTCCGAAGAACGATGTCCGTGGATATTATTTCTGAATTCTCGCGTGGGTTTCGTTCATTCGAGATGAGCTAAATCCCTTCTCTAGTCAAGAAATAACGGAGGCTCTGGGTCCCCTAAAAATTGTGAGATCGATTTAATTTTATCTTTTTATTTTATTTATTGGTATTCGCCTATTCTTTGATTACAATGCTTATGGTTGTCCAATTAATCAATTGTTTTGGATCCGGATAATTAGTTAATTTGGTAATCTATTGTCAATTTCGAGCGTTAAATCCGTAATTGTTTAATTGTCTCAAAATAGTGACAACTGGTATGATTAAATTTGTGTCTAGAGAATATGCGGGCTAATATGAAATAACCCTGGTAGTGCGTTATTTGGTTAGAATAGAGCTCCTCTAATGTATAAGGCAATTGGAAAATTAAATCTTACAGGCGTACCTAGGATTAATTCTCAATTAGGGTAGTGATTAACAAGCGTACCTTAATCACCGACAGAGTAAGGAGGGGTTGACTATTATCGCTTGTTTGGCAGTTATAACCTATTTATTAGTAAATATTTGCAATTGCTTGTGCATCGATGATCAATTAGGTGAACCATTGTTGAAGTTAATTCTTGGCTAGACCTTATCATTAATTTGATTTTAGTAAATTGTCATTGAAGTGCAAGTTAGCTATTTATTTTTATTTGAACTCCTTTGGTTGTTATCGTTTATACAAAAACACCCCATTGTTATTGTGAATTTCAAAAAAACAATTACTCCCCATTCGACCCTACTTATCATTATCTACAGAATTACCTTTTGTTTGAACAAGTTATTATTATTATACAGGCTCGACAACCTGTCAATTTTTGGCGTCATTGCCGGGGACTGGAGCTAGTTATTTGTTTCTTTTTAAGTTCATTTTTGCTCTAATTTTCTGGTACTTTCGAGTGTATGTCTCGTTCTTCTCGTACAGGTGAATTAATTTTTGACCCTGAGGTAGAGAAGACTACACGCAGAACAAGGAAAGAGACCAAACAATTCAGAGAAGAGCACTCCAGTGCTGCATCTCAGAGTTCTGATCCAGAAGTTGAACCAACAGATTCACTTAGTGATACTTCAAGTGATTCGAACCAAGAGAGAGTTACCATGGCAAATGCACGAACATTAAGGGAGTTGGCTGCTCCTAATTTAAATCAGTAGCCTTTATGCATTACTTTTCCAAGTTTGAATGATAATACTCCATTTGAATTAAAATCTGGTCTAATCCATCTCTTGTCATCTTTTCATGGTTTGCCAGGTGAGGAACCTTACAAGCACTTGCAAGAGTTTGATGTCGTGTGCAACAGTATGAGGCCCCTGGAATCAAGAATAGATAAAAATGAGAGCATTCCCCTTCTTTTTGAAGGATTTTGCTAAAGACTGGTTGTACTACCTACCACCAGGTAGTATCACCATGTGGGATCAGTTGAAGAAAAAATTCTTAGACAAGTATTTTCCCACGTCTCGAGCTGTAATTCTAAGAAAGGAGATCTGTAGTATCAAGCAGCACCCAGGGGAGTCGCTTTATGATTACTGGAAGCGATTCAAAAAGTTGTGCATCAAGTGCCCCCAATACCAAATAAGTGAGCAATTGCTCATACAATATTTTTACGAAAGACTACTTTTCAGAGACGGGAGCATAATTAATGCTGCAAGTGAAGGGGCATTGGTGAACAAGACCCCTCGAGAAGCATGGGAGCTAATTGAAGGAATGACTGAAATTCGCAGCAATTTGGTACGATGGAGGATGTCCCGATACGCAAGGTGAATGAGGTAGAGACATCCTCTATCTAGCAGCAATTGACTAAGTTGACTTCTTTTGTTAGACAACTGGCTGTAGAAAATGCATCTCAAGCCAAGGTGTGCGGGATTTGCACTAGTATGGGTCATTCTACGGAGATGTGCCAATGATTCAAGAGAAAAGGACAGAGCAAGTAAACATGACTGGTCACGTGCCCGCGCCAAGAAAGGTCTATGGCCCGTACTCGAGTATATATAACTCGGGTTGGAGAGATCACCCCAACTTTAGTTATAGAGGAAATAGGCAACCCAATTTTGCGCCAAATAGGAAGCAGGGGCATCACCAGCAGTATCAGCCTCACCCGCCACCACCTTCTTCAAACTCAAGTCCGTTTATGAAAGAAATGATTGAGCAATTGATTGTTAATCAACAAAAGACGAATTCTGACCTACAAAGCATGAGGAATCAACTGGGACAGATGCAAGTCATGCAGAGTCAGATGAGTCAAATGGCGATAGCAATTAACCGTCTAGAATCCCAAGTCCAGGGCAAATTGCCATCTCAACCTGAAGTGAACCCGAAGAACGTGAGTGTGATGACTTTAAGGAGCGGGAAGGAAATTCAGGGACCAGAATTCATGATTTCAAAGAACAAGGATGAGCAAAAGATCGAGAACGAGCTTGAAAAGGAGGACAGCGTGGCACAAATCCAAAGGTACTTCCCGACACAGTCATTGTAGTTAAGACTAATCCACCTCCCTTTCCTAGCAAGTTGGAGAAACCGAGAAAACAAGATAAGGAGAAGGAGATCTTGGAGGTGTTCCACAAGGAAGAGATTAATATCCCCCTCTTAGATGCAATCAAATAAGTGCCGAAGACGCAAAGTTTTTGAGGGATCTATATGTCAATCGAAGGCGGCTGAGGGGAGATGAAAGGGTCGTTGTAGGGGAGAACGTGTCCGCAGTCTTGCAGAAGAAGCTCCCACCGAAGTGCGGGGATCCAGGTAGGTTTACTGTCCCATGTAGGATAGGTAATATTTTGATTAGGAATACCATGCTGGACTTAAAAAGCATCAATCAACGTAATGCCTAAATCTATGTATGTTTTTCTGAACCTAGGTCCATTAAAAGAAATTGAGATAATAATTCAATTAGCTGACCGAACAAATGCATACCCTGATGAGTTGGTTCAGAATGTGCTGGTTAAAGTTAATGAATTGATATTCCCAGTTGACTTTTATGTACTTGACATGGATGATGACCATTTTTCCGATCCTCGCCTTTGCTTTTAGCTAGACCCATTTTTAGTACAGCCTAGACAAAAATTGATGTTCATAAGGGTATCTTGTCTATGGAATTCGATGGAGATATAGTCCACTTTAATATTTTTAATACAATGGAACATCCTGTTAATTCTCACTCTGTGTTTGCTATTCATGCTATTAATTTCTTTATGCAAGAATTTTCTGAGTTTGCTTGTAGGGATAAATTCAAAGTTGCTGCGAACGAGTATCAGGGGATGAAAGTAATTTATAAGATGAAAATGAGTAGAAAATTAAGGAAAAAGATTGCACTCAATGGCTATTTGGATCCCGGAGAAAAACCACCGATTACAAGGAAAATTGAATTACATCCATATTGAAGAGTGGTGTTCAATGTCTAGTCAAAGACATTAAAGAAAGACGCTTATCAGGAGGCAATCCAATTTCTTTTTAGTTGTTTGTTCAGTTTTAATTGGTAGCTTAAATATGTTTTCCTTATGTTTGATTGATTTCGGGTTTCAATTTTCATTTTT